CTGCTCCGATCAGTTTCATAAATGATCTGTGGTCAATCGAGACCTTTAAAAGAAATAGCATGTGTTGCGTGAGAGAGAGAGAGAGAGAGAGAGAGAGAGAGAGAGAGAGAGAGAGACCCCAATCTAACTAACTACATGGCCTGCCCCTTCCTGCCCCACACGATCACAGAATTGCGTATCTCCCAGCATCTGAGAAAGAATATTTGTGGTGAGTGGGAGACAGGTATGCAATGTGTGACACACACACAACAGGTGAGTTCAAATCCGAACCACCACCTACCCAGCAAACCACAACTGAAAGGAATGCAAACTGTGATCAGGTCTCTGACAGGAGAAACAAGAAAAAAAAAAGCATAGCAGCATTCCATTGGCAGCGTCAACGATAGTGCACAGGTGAGCCTAAAAAACATCTCGGCCCCACCGAAACCCACACCCGGACCAGCAAACCCCCACCCACCCTCATTTGCACCCTTTTCCCTTTATTTTTTTGCCGGCGAAGCCGCAACAGGTAACCTTGTTCAACATTAAATTTGCAAAGCAGGTTTGCATCTGGTCTAATAGACCGCTGTTCATCCTTCATGACGGTGGCTCGTGTTTATTCGCAAAGGCGTTGCTAAGCCTGTGGCGTACAGGTGGTTAGAGTTGACTAATCCTACCTGCTCTATGGCTGAATGGTACAACACCTTTAACTGGTAGTGTACAGATCATGAGTGGAACCCTATTGATACAAATAAATTGACATAATATTATGGGTCAAATTATGAAAAAAAAAAACGACTGATGTTACAATGAACCTAACAATTGATTTACTCTGTGGTTTTGTCTAGGTTTCTGTCAGGGAAAAGCTCATTAGGGCCGGACGTTTTCGACGACATGAAACCTGGTACTCCTGACCGGCAGCAAGAATTACCTCCTCCCTTCTCGCGGACGAAGGGTCGGGTGCTTAGGGATGGTGCTATTCCGATGCTGACTTCAGAACCTAGCGACGTCTCGAAGCAGTTGGCATGCTCTCAAGATTTTAGTATCTGCAGGACAGTGGGAATGAACAAGAGTTCAGCCGAGGAAAGCAGCAGGATATCCAAATATGCAACTCTTGAGTGGGTGGCTGGTAGAAACCGTGAAGCTGTGCCTTTTGCTGATGTGCTGAAATTGGGTTACAAGAAGGAACACAACGTGGCAGCCACTAAAATTCAAGCACGGTAAGTCACCAGTATGCAAAATATCTTGCCTCTTCTCTTTTTTTTCCACTCCTTGGACCGTTTCTTTTTGTGTGTGTCATCCTTGCCTAGGGGTTATGCTAATCTTCTTTATACGAGTTCAATTTTAATGAATGTCCTGAAGGATCAAATCTGTTGCCTTTCATCAGAAAACAAAAGAAACAAAACGCTTTATAGAGTCGGGTAGTGGAAGGGCGCTGAAGGGGCGTGTGGAAGCTCTGCTTGGTCGCAGCTGGCACGGAGTGCTGCAGCCATAGCCGGAGGAGGCTGAGCGGTGGTCCTTGGGTGAGGGCACTGTGGTGTGAGAGGTGGATGGCTGTGTGAGTGAGCAGAGAGAATGTACCTGGTGATGATGAGGGGGTCTGTCCAGCCGAAGTCCTTATTCGTCATCTGGCAGCTGCACTCCACGGAGACCTGTTGACGTTGTTGGAGGCTAGACTAGTCTAGGTGCTGTCTGATCATAGTCGGGGTGCCGAGTGCCATATAGGAGAGCAAAGTTGGAAACATTGATGGTGGAAGTGAGAATAGGGCTTCATTGTCAATTGTCTTAATTGGTGTATATCTTAGTGCATTCTGCTTTCGGTTCGAGCGTATGAATTTTCTGGCTTTCAATGGGATGATGCAATTTGTTTTCTGACAGTCACATTGCTGATAATCCTTGCAGCCCTTTGCCTTGTTTGCTGCTGCTGGAAGCTTACGTATTCTCCTTGGACCTGGCTGCTTGGTCGGACGGACACCTGGCCTAACGACCTTTGTGATCTTGGCTGACGGTCGTGGTACCTTCTTAAAATAGACTCTTTAACCCATAACTGTTATCTGGCAGGGAGTTCCTACCACGATGTACTTAACTAACCTGCTTAGGTATGCATAATCTCGACCAATGGGGCTAGCTCAGTTGGTACACCCGATGAACTGTCGAAATACAGACCCCAGTTCGAATCCAACTGCAATCAGATGAACAGAACAAATTTAGTTCTGAATTACCTGGGGCCGGTCAGCTGAAGGATGATATCCCGAGGCTGTCACCCTTAAAAGAAAAAAAAGAAAAAGAAACTCTTCTGGAGTGTTCCTGGATGTTGTACAAGTGGCTGGAACCACTAATGGAACACTGAATGGGACTAGGACCTGGGACTTTGGACTGGTACCTGGGACTTGAGGACTTGGGACTGGGACTTGGGGATCTGGACTTGGGACTTAAAACAGGGATGCTGTTGTGAGCCCTTTCACAACCTAAACAACCCAAGAAAAATGAAAAGTAAATAAGATTTTCGTATGGGGTTCTGTCTGGACAGACATCCCAGACAATGGGAGCTGATAACGTTACCAGAAAGTCAGTAGCCTGAGAAGAGAGGCGTAAGGGCCACCATGCCACAAATGTTGCCTTAGGTCATGCTCACCCTAGGACTTTCCTGGGTGCATCTTGATCGGAATAGTACCTGAATTCAGTCCGTAAAGGCCAAGTCTGATAATAGGCTTGGCACTGCTTCAACTGCCTCTGACAGGGCTGTTATGATCCTGGTTGTTTGTTGTCAGAAGATCAACGCTCGTTCACATAGAATCCTCGTCCCAACAAAAACGGTTGTATCCCCAAAATAGCTTGGCATTACATCACCAGGAAGCCGCTACAGGGGGGCTTAGGGATTATAGACCCTAGATATGAAACAAAAGCCCTTCAAGCCAAATGGATTGTTAAAACTCTTGATGAACCCAGAAATGCCACTGGCACTAGACAGCATCAGAGCTTCGGCCCCGGTAGCCTCACCAGAAAACATGATGGGTCTGTTTTGGATAATGAACAAGGAATGGAACCTTAAAACAGCAAGGAGAAGACCAAGAAGGGGAACGGGTGGGGACACAATCAGACCCCCTACTCCATACTGGTCGGCTCTGATCCGAATCTGGTCTTCTTGGTGCCGGTTAGCCTGCTGAATCATACCGGCCTCCGGGGGGACACAATCAGACCCCCTCCTCCCGGGATAACTCAGAACCGAGGACCCAGACCCAGTCACCTGTGCGAATAGTAGATGGGCAGCGGTGCCGGTTAGCCTGCTGAATCATAGCCTTCTGGGTGTTGAGCAGGTTGGTACGGGCATGCTCAATGTCCACACAGTATCGCCTGGTGAACTCTGCAGTTCCAGGTATCAGTTTAGGAGTAGCCTTATCGATGATATCATCGAGAGGTTGACGTGGTTTGCGACCCCAGTGTAACCGGTAGGGTGTGAAACCAGTGGAGGAGTGTACAAAAGTGTTATACACCAACTGTGCACGACCCAGATGGAGATCCCAGTCCTGTTGATCTGGACTGATGACAGGACGCAGCAGCTGGAACAGAATCCGGTTCATCACTTCAGCCTAGCCAGTGGCTTTAGGATGACGACCAGATGTCATGTCCAAGCGAGAATGAAGGTAGTCCTTGCAGTAGGACTGTCATTCATGGCTGCAAAAATGAGATATCGATCACTGACAGTGGGGGTGGGTGGTCCATGATGTGTAACCCACCTGTCAGCAAATGCCGCCTAGATGGCTGGGACTCTGGCTTCTCCTGGCAAAGGGATGAACTCTGCATAGGAGAACCTGTCCACACACACCATAACTTGACGCATACCACGAGGGGTGGTCCTACCCAAATCAGTAAAGTCAATAGACACTGATTGTGTAGGTGCCTCAGGGATGGGAAGTGGTTTGAGTAGGCCAAGAGGAGGTCTGACCTTATCCCTTTCGCACGACTCAGAGGTGTCAACATAGTGTAGTATGTTACTCATCTTTTTCTAGAAGAACCTCTACGACAGGGCCGCATATGACACTGTAACATCAGGAGTGTTCTCAACTGGCGATCCTGAGGAATACACAGGCGTTCCTCACCTCTGCTGCATGTGTACAGCAGCTCTAAAGCCAGAGTGTAACCTGGTTCAGAGGTAGGATCATCTTGTAGGTTCCTCACTATGGGCCCAAAAATTGGGTCGTGGGGCAGCAATCGGGCAATGGTCTAACAAGTCTTCTCCCCAAAAGAGTGAGTGGAGGAGATAAAGAAGAGAGCGTCAGGCCTACGAGAAAGGGCGTCTGCTACTTCGTTGTAACAGCCCTTCTTGTGCTTTTGTTCAACAAGTGGTCCCACCGCGGCGACGCAGCGACGAGGAGAGACAGTGTGGTGCGAGTATGCCTGGTGGGGGAAAAGAGCATTCATGTTGGAGTGCTAAAAAAGCGACAGTGAGTCGCAGTGCTTGAGAGCAGGAAAACCAATCAGAGTTGCATAGGTCATTAGGAAAAAAATTGTCCAGAGTTGCAAAGGACAGCATACATGGGAGAGCGCGACAGGACAAAGTCATTCAGCATTGTATTTGAAGGCCTGATTGCATAGCTCAGAGCATTTATGTGTAAGTGGCCAAAGCTGAAAATTTGATATGTTCATATGAGAAGAGTTTCCTATTCTTGTATTCCCGTCAATGGAAAATCCGAAGAATTGTTACGCCCCACCTACCCACCCACCCACCCACCCACCCACCGGGCCACGCCCCACCGACCCAGCCACCCCCCACCCACCCAACCCAC